GTATGTTTTCATGAGCTTAGTTTCAGGTTATGAAAGTTTAATCTCTAAATATATTCTTATGGACAGGGACATGATGGCGCTGTGGGTTAAACCGCAGAAGCCTCTGTGCTGCAAGGTCAGAAGACCAGCAGTCATAAGAGCGAATCCACGCGACAGAGTGAGCTCCCGTCACTTGTCCCATCTCCTGCCAACCTAGCAGTTCGAAAGCATGTAAATGCAAGTATATAAATAGGTACCACCACTGTGGGAAGGTAACGGCATTCCATGTCTAGTCATGCTGGCCACGTGACCACGGAAACTGTCTATGGACAAACACTGGCTCTATGGCTTGTAGACGGGGGTGAGCACCGCACCCTGGAGTGGGACACGACTAGACTAAATGTCAAGGGGAACCTTTACCTTTTTATGTTCTTATGGATGTGGGAAGTTTATCTCTTCTATTGTGGTTGCATTGAAAACACTTAGCTTTTCTACCTTATTAAACCTGTCAAGTGGACTGGCTTTGCGGGTAGGAATGCCTCCCTATAGCAGGGCAGGATTCCAGCATGCTTAAAGAAACATTAGTGAGAGTGTTGCTGATAATGCCACCCTTGAATCCTATGGTAATAGATAATTACCTGCCAGTCTCAAATGTTCAATTCATTGGCAAGGTGTTGGAGCATGTGCTATCTCTCGGCTCTAAGAATTTGTGGATGAGATCTAGATTCATTTCAGTCTGGCTTCAAACCTGGCTATAGGATGGTGACTGCTTTGGTCACCTTGTTGGATAACCTATGCTGGAGACAGTATGCCCTTTTCATTTCTGTTGGACTTCTTGGTGTCTTTCAATACCATTGACCATGGTATCTTTCTGGGCTATGTCTATGGCTTTGGGATTAGGAGGTACTGTTTTTCCTGGTGGAGAAAGCTCAGGAAGTGCTGTTGGGGGGAACACCTATTAGTCCATTGGCCTCTGGTGTCTCTCAAATGTCTGGTTTTTCCCCTCACATTTTTAAAACTATACATGAAACCAAGGTAAATAAAAATCAATGATTTTTTTAAAAAAATCAAATTGATTTAAATACTTTAAAAAATTTTTAAATATTTTTATATCAATTTTCAAAATCTTATTTTAAAAAATTTAAATCGAAACCACCCTGCATAAAACTGCTAGGAGAATTTGTCCAGAATTTGGGGTTTGGTGTCAAGTATATGCAGATGACACCTAACTCTCTCAGTCTAATTCCAAGGAAGCTGTGACTAAACTGAAACTTGATCCAGACAAGACAGATATGCTTCCAATCAGTTGAAAGGGAGATTTGGGAATAGGGTTTCAGCCTGTTTTGGATTGCACTCCTCCTAAAATACAGGTTTGTAGCTAGTATGTGTTCCTGGTTTAATCCTTGAGTCTGGATGCCTAGGTCTTTGAAGTGAGTGGGAGTTAAAACTAGTGCACTGGCTATTGCTGGAGATGTCTGCTCTGACTGTGCCTTTGCTATATCCTATTTGCATTATTTTAACATGTGCTACATGGGAGTGCCTTTGGAAGGCATTCGAAAACTTAAATGGGTTCAAAATTCTTGTTAACTGGAACTGCTTGCAGGGATCACTTAACTGTTACAGCAGCTCCACTGGATGCCAGTCCATTTTCAGGCACAGTTCAAAGTGTTGCTTTTGACCTGTAAAGTCATAGTATCTAAAAGCCTGCCCAGGTTTTTAAATCATCAGGGAAGGCGTTTCTCTCAGTTCTGCCACCCTCACAGGTGCATTTGGTGGGGGCACAAGTGAAAGCCTTCGCTGTCACTACTCCCAAGCTGTGGAACTGCCTCCCATGGGAGGCTAGGCTGTACTTTGCTGTGCCGTGGTGCCCCACATAGCAATGTTAATCCGTTCCAGGATTAACGTCGCTATCCGGATTTGTCGCTATGCAGGGGGGGGACCCATAGGAACTCATTAAACTCGTTTTTATGCGTTCCAATTGGGGAAAAACTCACCACTATGCGGGGAATCCTCTATCTGGCTGCCATTTTCGCCGCCCGGTAAGCGAGGGCAGGGCGCGAAAACGCTGCGGGCGGCCATTTTGTTGACCCGGCGGCCATTTTGGAACCGCCAATCAGCTGTTTGTAAAACATCGCAATGCGAAGATCGGTAAGCGAAATGCTTACCGATCATCGCAATGCGATGTTTTCCCTATCTAAAACATCGCAATGCGATCGCATTAGCGATTGCAAAAAACGCGTCGCTATGCGGATTCGTCGTTAAATGGTGTGTTCGTTAAGCGAGGCACCACTGTACTTCTGCAAGCAGGCTTTCCCCCAGTAATTGGCTGCCTAAGGGGGGGGGGGTTCTTAAAAATGGGACTGCTGTTTATGTGGTTTTAAAATGCATTTTAAGAACAATTTTAAACTTTTTATCCACTTGTATTTAATTTGATATCTGTATTTAATATTGTACTAATTTATTGGGATTTCCTAAATTTTTAATATTGTTTATTTTTAATATTGTAAGCTGCCTTGGGTCATCTAGAAGAGAAAGGTGGGGTATAAATATTTTTAAATAAATTAATTTTTCACAATGCATTTGTATTAATCCTGGCCAGCTTTGCCATATATTTTTAGGACAGTTTCAGTTTTTCTGCAGTACTTAAAAGTTACTGGTACCTGCCTAAAGAAGTGGAAATTTTCATTCCCCAAAAGCTCAGGCGAATCATTTGATTTTTAGGAGTCTAAAAAGTGTCACATTCTTCTACAATTTTGTATTATATTTATCCAGTTACCCATATTTAGATCTTCCAGTTATCTTCCAGCTTATCATCTTCCAGTTATTGTTAAACAACTCAGCATGACCACTGTTACACTTATTACTATACTGTTACCTTTTAAATTTGTTTCATTTCACATTCACCCTCACCCCTTCTGTATACATATATCTATCTGCTAAGACTATATTCTATTTATCTGGTGAAATGGGCTTCAATTCACAAAAGCTTACACCAAATAAAATTTGCTAATGGGTGATGTGTGCCACTCCAGATGTTGTTGGATGTGGATATGTAAAAAGCACACATTAATGTGTTACATTTGAAAAATAATGACTTCTCTGTGACTTACAGATTGCAATCAAATTACCTTGTAGTCCTAACGTCATACAGTATAATAAGCAGTATTAGTTCCTTAAGTGCAATCCTCAGTCAGGCTAAAGAATTTAGTATTAAATCCTGATGCCACTGGGAGGTGCTACAGGTTTGTTGAATACCCACAGTTCCTAGATTGAAGAGGTAACACATTGAATGTTTCTGCATTATGCGAATTCTGTGCATAGGCTGAAGTGATTTTGTGATTAAGTTTTTGTTTTATGTTACATATAGAGAGATATTGTTTATGTCAACAGGCAGGATAATTTTCTTGTATGGTGTTTGGTTTAGTACAATGTACATTTTCAATACATCCATTCCTAAACTGACTATATTTGCTATTTGGTGAATCAACAGAAAACTTCTGCCACTGCTCTGGAGGTTTGTTAGGTGCATTATATGGAAAATGTGGAGGTGAAATAAAATACTAAAACTGTGCTTTGAAGAAAGCTGAAAAATCTCAGTATCAGCTCTTTTCAGAAATTTACTTTGCGTATGCTCTTGAGGTGAGTGAGTGTGCTTATGGAGTAAATGTTCAGAGCTGCAGATTGTTTTGTTGTTTGTTCCTCACAGCAAAACCTTTCATGAAAGGCATTTATCTGATTGAGTACCTTGAGGATTTTAACTCTACATTTGTAGAACTTAAGTTGATGGAAGTTTCTAGTGAAATGAAATAGTATGTAAATGTTTAGGTAGTCACCTTGAAAACTATGTATGTATGCAGATCATTTACTATCCTGGATTTTGCATCATTAGAAGAACAAATATAGGCAATTCTTTTTATATAAATAACTGATACGGTATGATAAAAGGTTTCAGATGTTTCTTTTCTTTATCAGCACCTACAACACAAGACCAGACTCCCAGCTCAGCTGTTTCAGTTGCCACACCTTCAGTCAGTGTTTCAACCTCTGCTCCTTCTGCTACGCCTGTGCAGACTGTACCCCAGCCAGTCCCACAGACATTGCCTCCTGCAGTTCCTCATGCAGTACCTCAGCCAACAGCAGCAATTCCTGCTTTTCCACCAGTCATGGTACCTCCGTTTCGTGTTCCCCTTCCTGGCATGCCTATTCCACTACCAGGTAAATTGGGAAACTATAACTGTCTTATCAGCCACATGTCCATGTTGTCAATCTGTTTGCACTCATGTGTCCACTGTGTATGGAATTTGCCTGAATCCTCTTCATTTAAAATATATTCTTTTTAAAAATGGGGATTTTCTCAAACAATGTTTCAAAAGAAAATTCCCATTATTTATTATTATTGGCAAGAAGGCACAGTGGCCAAAATTCAGTTGCTTAGTGTAGTACATTTCACTACAGTAGGTCCATTGAATCAATGGGGGTGTGGTGTATCAACTTCTCCATAAGTATTAAATCAAATTGATTTAGAATATTAAGTCGCAGTTGGAGCACACCCTTTTGAATCAGTGGAATTTAGAGGAGTTGGCTCCCCAATTGCCCATTCATTCAGTGGGCCTTCTCTAGTGCAATTTACTATGCCAAGCAGCATGATTTTGGTTATTAATTTTGACATAAATGGAATATGACTTATATTTTAAAAACCCAAAGTATTACTCTGACAGTTAATAATTGGAAGAAGTCCATCTTCTTTCTGATGCTTAAGCTGTGGTTCTTTACATTCTTGTTTTGAGAGTATATCCTTTTCAATTCAGTGGGACTTGCTTCTAGTAGATATACATAATACTACAACATAAATCTGATATTAGGTCTTAATTGGCTTTTAAGATAAGTGGCATCTTGGTACTGCAGCTCCTGTCAACCCTGATCATGGCCATTCTGGGAATCAATAGTCCAAGAACATTGGTGAACCACTAGTTTCCCAGTCCTCTTACATGCTGAGGTAGCTTCTAAGTTGTCTTAATTACATAGAAAAGCTGTTTGAAGAATTAGTTGAAGAGTTTGCAGGTTAAGATGCAGCAAATAGCACCACTTTCTTAATCAGCTTAGACTATGGGTATATATTTGTACCTGATAAAGGTTACTTTAAAGTGTTGTTGTGCAAAGGCATTTACTCTTCAGAAGTTCTGCTATTATTTTGATGAGAAAGGAAGGAATGTTGAAGAGTAGTATAGAAACTTAATAAAATAAAAGTTTAAGCTTAGAGTTTTAATATCCATATACCCAAAAGCATTAGAATCCATGATACTAGACTTGCTGCATTCAATCCCTATGTCTTACATTCCTTGACACAGCTACTTCAGAAAGCCTGGAGACAGATTGTATTGTGATCAAGGAAAGGCTTCAGTGTTACAAGCAAACCAGTGTTTTCTGTTCATATGCAGGGTCTTTGGAGGTCAGCCACATCATTTAAAATTAATTATTATTGTAAAGAGATTTGGAAACATAAAATACATAGTTATTAAGAGCAGTCTGTATTAGAATATTAGCATATTAATTATTATGCAAGGTAGCAGTTTTAATGACCATATGTTGCTTAAGTTATGCCCAAGTGGCCCATGTTCCAGCTTAAATTCCTTACATGTATAGCCTTCATTTAGAAAATGGAATAAATTTCCAGACCTATATGATTGAAGAGAGAATCTTTTGGCATTATAATTGTGTTAGGATGGTAAAATCCTGACTTAATAGCTGAAATTTTGTGTACCCATATATAACTACATTGTTCTTACTTCATTCCTCTTATAAAACAACCAGGGAAGCAAGCCAAGGGAGCCACTGCTAACTACTTACTTGTGAACTGAGAATTATGGTTAATAGCTTCTTAACAAGTGAAGATTCAAAGGCCAGCTTTGAACAGTGGTTTCACATGCTGGCTTGTTTAAAAATCATTGATCAAAATTTCTTATTTCAGGTTATAACAGGGAGCTGTGGGCAGGTGGCTTGCAGGAAACAGGAGCAAAGGGGCTACTTGCACATGCATGACACTTGAGCATTTTGTATGTTAACCCAGTTGCTGGACATTTAAATCAGGCCTGTATGAGAGGTTGTATTTGAGAACTTTGCCAGAGGGTAAATAGCCATGTAGCTTTTTTTGTCAAATCACAGTGTATTAGCCATATTCATAATTTTAATGACATCACTAATTCAGAAGCTGACATTTTGGTCTTTGGGTATAACCAGTGCCAATGTCAGGTTTGTACATTATGCAGAGTTTTTCCCCCAACTTTATAAAATTCTTCTTGTTAAACTGTCTTGGCTACTCATCAAGCTTCCCTGTCTTTGCAGTGAGAACTTGGAAGACTTAAACTGTCTTCCAGTAGATATTTTGAGACGTAACAGCAAGTGAATGATTGCTCAAACAAGTACTCCATTTGGCACCAGAAAGAAAAAGGACATTCATTTTATTCTACATTAAAATCCAGATGTTGAGACCTCAAAAACTTCAAAATGTATGTCTTCTGTCTGGTCCATTGTGTATTGGGCCACAGTGAAGAATAGCTGCACTAATCTGGTATTGGGCCAAAATCAATGACCCTGGTTCCTGCAACTGCCACACAAAATCCTAACTAGGGAGGTTTAGAAATTCTTTGAAACAGTCTCTTTGGCTCTGTAGGGTCAGGAAAGGGGAGGAAAATCATAGACATTGGATCCTAAAGCATACTGTTGGACCTTGGCCTGTGTTTTGTTTTTGTTTTGCTTTGTTCCCATTCCAGTGTGTTTGTGTATGCTTTGTTTGAACCCTGTTTCCCATAACAAGAATAATATCAATTTGAGAAGGTAGTCTATTGCAAAAAGGGGAAAGGCTAAAACATAGCAACGCATTACAGATCCTGTAAATGTACTGCATCTTGCCAGTGCTATGGAAAATGAATGACCAGCCCTGACATCCTTTGAGACTTGTGCCATTTGAAAGACATCCAACCCTTGTATGTTCTTTAAGATCATAATGGGTAGAAACCTTCTTATTAAAAAAAATATTAAAACTAGACTGTACACAAGTAAAATACATTGTCTTCGCCCTGCTGCATAGTTGGAACTATGCAGGTTTCTAAAGGTCAGTGAAGTGAGTTAGATATTGTGATGCTAACTTAATACCGTGTTTCCTCAAAATTAAGACAGGGTCTTATATTATTTTTTGCTCCAAAAACGCATTAGGGCTTATTTTCAGGGGATGTTTTAAATTTTTTTATGTACAGCAAACTACATTTATTCAAATACAGTCGTGTCATCTTCTGGTTGCTGCACAATGGTGGAGGGCGGGGTTTCACTTAACTGGGGTTTATTTTTGGGATAGGGCTTATATTACGAGCATCCTGAAAACTCATACTAGGGCTTGTTTTCATGTTAGGGCTTATTTTTGGGAAAACGGTACATACTGAACAGGAGGTCTTCTATTACATACTAAAAGCTAGCTATATATTAGAATATGACAAAATGTAGGAATATGTAAGAACAAGGGCTACTTTCCTCAGAAATCCTTACAAGTTAAATTATACAGATTCAATAGTCTTTCCGTACTGAATAGAGGTTTAAATTTTTTATTTTTACAATAACTTCTAACACTTTTGTGTGTATTTATGAAGAAGTAATTTCCACTGTATGATATACTCCCTAGCTAAGTATGTTGAGAACTGCAGGCATAGCTCTAGTTTTCAGGCATGTTCAAAACATGGCTAACAAGATTAACCTCTGCATACATTGAAAGTTTGTACCATAAATTCACTGTAGCCAATGCTTTGTTTGACTCACCAGTTTAGTTTACACTTAGTTCCATGCAGGGTTGAATTTTGGGAATATGGAAGAGGACTGATTTAAAATACATAAGCCCTTAAATGATATTTTAATGTTTTTGTACTAGATAGTACAGTGCTGCCTTGACTTACGAACTTAATCCATTCCAGAAGATGGTCGTAACTCGAAATGATCATAACTCGAAGCACCATTTCCCATAGGAATGCATTGAAACGTGATTAATCCAAGGCAGGGGGGGGGGGGGTGTTTCACAAAAAAAAAACACTGCAAAACCCATCAGAAACACGATTAATCCATACCAGCCGAAAGGGGGGGGATCCAAAAGCAAGCAGAGACTGCAAGACCTATTGGAAATGCAAAAAACAAACAAACAAAAAAACACCCAACCAAAAAGCAGAGACTGCCAGACCTATTGGAAATGCAAAACCCAAAAAGCAAACAGAGACTGAAAGACCCATCGGGAATGCAAAAAAAAACCCACAACAAAACAGTAGGGGCTGCAAGACCCATCAGAAACGCGAAAAAAACCCAAAAAACAAAGACTGCAAGACTCATCATAGCACAGAAACATAACCTTCCCAGCCGAAAACCATGCTGCAAAACCCACGCAGAACAGCCAGTTTTTAAAAAGCAAAAAGCAGCACTTTACCAGGCAGTCTGAAGCCTCCTTTGAACGCACATTCTAACCACTGGGGCGAAAGAGCTACAAAGAAGCAGCCTCAAACAGCACCAATGGTTAGCAGTGTGAATTCCCTGCCTTTTTCCCTGCCTTTTTTCTGGTTGTTACTCAAAGCTCTGGTCACAAGTTGAAGCAAAATTTTGTGGCCGGAGCTGGACGTAACTCAAAATGGACGTAAGGTGGGACATTCGTAAGTCAAGGCACCACTGCATTAAGGAAGCATTATTAGTTTTCAATGTTTTAAATTTGTGAATTAAATTCGGATGACCTAAATTCTGAGAAGAAATTGAAAGATTCAGGAAGAGGGTGGGTTTTTTGTTTGTTTGTTTTTTTGGGGGTTTTTTTGCATTTCAGGTATTAGAAGGTATTGAAATAGCTTGGTACCTCTCATGCAGTAGCCTCTTTTAAATGGTCTCTTGTCTGGAATCTCACTCCACTTCCTGTTTTCCTCAGTCATTTTTTTGATGCCCCATCCTATGTGGATTTTCAGAATATTTTATTTAATTAGAAAACAATCCTTGAGTTCTTGGCTAATAAATGTAATGGAACCCATTGAATATTATCTAAGCCACATTGAAGACACCTACACTAAAGTACTTCAGATGTGGCTCAATTAATGTCAGAAGTACTAGCTTGTGATCTGTGTTGGTCCTTGTATGGAGGTAGGAGTGGAAAAGGTGAGAGGATATATAAGGGAGGGTAAATGTGTAGGTTGCTAATGAACCATCAGCATAGCTTGTGTTTTTTCTCCCCTTACCTTGCATCCCCTTGAGTTTACGTCCTTACCTTCAACTTTGTCTTTTACCTCTCCAAACTGATGCACCCGTTCCGCACAGTATGACATTGTCTTCTCAAAGGCCATATTTTTTGTTATCCCTGATAAGTAAATTCCTTAGACTGCAATCCTGTGGGTACTTGGAACTCATCTCTATTGAACATAGTGTGGTTTCGTTCCAAGTAAATATGCACAGGATTTGGCTGCATGAACTGTTTTGCCTAAATGCTGGATAAACACAGAGAGTATGTTGTCTCGAGAATGTGCAGAAGAGAAGACTACCCAGACTGAATTTAAATCTCTGGGTCATCCCATACTTCTTTTCAAGGACTGATGCATTGTCCTTTGAATTCTCTTTTAACAGTATAAAGTAGGATTATTGCAGGAACTTACGATTGATCTGACATCACTTTAATAAATTGTTAGAACAAAACCAATTTCAGACCTTCCTGCTTGCTGCTTATTGCCATTGAAAAATGGCATGCTAAATTTCTAGCAGGAACCTGATACTGCTCAAATTCCCAGTGGTAGCTGGCATACGATGGCAGCTTTCCAACATGCTTGCTTATCCATTTTACAGGTGTAGCAATGATGCAAATAGTCAGCTGCCCGTATGTAAAGACAGTCGCTACCACCAAGACCGGTAATTTTTTTAAAAAAACATCTTAGTCTGTTTTGTCTGTAAGTTGGCATGGTAGTGAATGTTGTTGGTTTTAACTTTTATTTGCTTTTCCCAAATAACTGGATTTCTATCTTTATTTTCACAGTATACTTATAAATAAAGATTTCACATGTAGCCCCCAAGAAACCTTCCCAATTAACAGATATTATTCCCCTGATTAGAAAAAAAATCTTCTCAAGTTTAAATCACTATTCATGTAAATCTCTTCCATGTCCATGTTTTGTTTTTGTTTTTCTCTGTGGGTTACAATATTTCTTTCCTCTCTCTCTCTCTCCTGCCATCTGTATAGTGACCAGACTTTGTTTGCATGTTAGCGTGCTTGTGTATGTGTATATATATATGTACGTCTGATTTTTAAACTATAAATTGTTTTAGATACAGACATTTTCATATAAAATAAGCAGTTTATTATCAGTATCTTAAATATTCAGTTAGTTGAAAAGTTAGTATTGTATGGCACCAAATTTGCTCTATTAACTTTGCATCAAATGAAATTTAAATACACTTAAAAGAAACATGTCTTAACCCTCCACCCATTTAAAGAGAAAAACTCAGATTTAAATCACTATATTCTTTGTACTTATCTTAACTAAGCTGAAGGAATCACTCTTTCCTTAATTAAATTTCACTGTTTTTTTTTTTTTTAACTGCCAAATAAAGTCATTTATCTAAAAATCATTACTGATTTTTAGGGACATGGAATGAAGGCTGGAAGCTCAGGCACCAAGTTGCCTATTTCCTGCCTTCTAAAACTGGCTGCTACTAGCACTGATAGGCGGGGCACAGGGCTCTCCTTCCTTAGTATGGGGAAAACCCTGTTTGCATGTGTAGGTCTGCCTTGCTATATCAAAAACTGGCTAATTAAGAGAGAATTGATAGAAATGATTTGCTGATAATTATTCACTCTGCATCTCTAGCTGGCTTTTTATTTTAAAAGTCATAGCCCTTATTACGACTTCGAAAGGCAGTCACTTGTTTCCCTGTCTTCATTAATCCTGATTCTTATAGTTAATTATATAATGTCACATGATAAAATAATGACTAATTTTTGTGCCATAAGAATTTGGGTTTACTAAAATGCATGAAATAAGTTTACTAGCATAGGAATATAGCTGAGAAAGAATATGTCAGGTTCTGGTAATAATAGCTTTGTTTTCTTTTATATGTTTTACAAATGCTGATCTCAGTGTGGCACTTCAGATTCACAAAATTTGCTTTATCAGTATTTGCCTTTTTATTGCTCCTTCTTATATAGGTGTCTTGCCAGGAATGGCTCCTCCTATTGTACCTATGATCCATCCTCAGGTTGCTATTGCCGCTTCACCTGCTACATTGGCTGGAGCAACAGCAGTCTCTGAATGGACTGAGTACAAAACAGCAGATGGGAAAACTTACTACTATAACAATAGGACGTTGGAATCAACATGGGAGAAGCCTCAAGAACTGAAGGAAAAAGGTATGATCTTCATTTCATAGCTCATACACAACTAATGATCTGCTTTACAAAGTTAGGAAGACTATGTAACTATTGAAAATAGTGTGCCATTAGGCAATGGTACAGGAATCCACACAAAATCAAAATGAAAATAGCAAATCCATGGTAAAAAACTGAACATCTTACTGAATTAATTATTAAATCCAGAAAATTATTGACCAAGTGGATTGTCTTTTTAATAATTGCCATCAGTTTTGGTAGCGTTCATGCACATTATGGGTATTTTACAGATAGGTTGCCACATTCCTCAGTTGTCACTAAATGTACATGTATCCCAAAAAACTAGGAGGCCTTCTGGTATAGATCACAGTCCACAGGCAAACTTTTCCTTTGCATTCACCTTTTGGAGAGCTTCTCCTGCCTGTTCAACCATACTGTTCTCTGTATTTATGTGTCTTTTTCATTCTCCCTCACTCCCGTTTGCCATTTTACAATCTATCACTCATGTTCATGGTTTTAGCAGTTATCACCATGGTGTATATGTGTAACTGATCTGGCCAGGATAGGAATAATACAATCGCAGAATAGATTTTCCAGAGCAAATAAAGTTGTCATTGCATTTTTGCCAAATTATCATTGGATTCTTGAATTCAGTAGTTATCACAGTTGCCAAATCCAAATCCTCACCACAAAAGAAAGAATTAAAGAAATCTAGTAGCATTATGCTAAAATTTTTCTTAGCAGGGTGTTCCCTACTTTTCCCTTTCTACTGATGTACATGAAATTCTGCCCTCTCACAGAATTATGAGGGAGGGCTGAAAATGAAGCATTGGCTCCCATTTCCCTGAGAAGCTCTGCTCTATGTCTTTTGAAAATAAAGGTACAAAAGCATAGGAGACAGTCTTTTTGCATTTCCCAAAAAATTGACTCCATGTATTCCTTCCTCCTTTAAAAAAATTAATCGTCTCTTTTTTCTTTGGAGCAGTAAGGAGAAATTTTCCCATTCAGTCAGTTTGCCTGTAAATTGAATAAGTACAGGAGGTTGTCTGGGATTTGTTTAGAAAGAGTATATTCTCGGGATGAAGACTACACATTAAGTCTACTAACGTGGAATATAGTGGTTGTTGTGGGTTTTTCGGGCTCTTTGGCCGTGTTCTGAAGGTTGTTCTTCCTAATGTTTCGCCAGTCTCTCTGGCCGGCATCTTCAGAGGACAGCACTATGAAGATGCTGACCACAGAGACTGGTGAAACGTCAGGAAGAACAACCTTCAGAACACGGCCAATATAGTGCTGGGAGGAGGAAAGCAAAACAGACTGTTTGAGAAAAGGCTTTATCCAATGATACCTAATATAAACCACCCCAAGTAGTATTCCACTAATTAGGGTGGTCTATAAGCTCAAGGAGGGAGGGAGGTTTTTGAGGCTATCTAGTTTTTATTTTACAAGACTTGTTTGATCCTTTTTAGTATGTGTATACTTACTGGTTTTAGCTTTAAATATTGCCTTTTAAGTATGTCAGCCACTTTGGGTCTTTTATAAAGAGAAAGGCAGGGTAAAAATATTTTGAGTGAGTGAGTGAGTGAGTGAGTGAGTGAATGAATGAATGAATCAATGAATAAATAAATAAATAAATAAATAAATAAATAAAATGATGGTTTTTTGTTATGGTAAAACAAATGCTGGGTAACAACAGGGAGAGATACTAAAAATGGTGTCACCTGCTCCCACTTTCAGCGGCCTACCAATTAGACCAGCATCTGTTTCAAGACAGAGAGAGCGTAGGGGAAGAAGAATAAACTTTGTTGGTGCCATTCAAACTCACTGAACAAAAATGTGCTCTAGATCTCTAGCAGCTTTATTTACCAGCTGTGCATTACATCCTCCTTCCCTGTACTTTTTTTGCTTGCTAGGATCAAAGTCAGACTCCCTGGTGTTCAGCAGTTGATCACTTGAGGTTTTATTGTGAAAATTGTACTGATGAGAATATAACTAATTTGAATTTACAAAAAGCTGAAAAAATGATTTTGAAAATCTTTTTTTAAAAGATAAAGTAGAAGAGAAGATGAAAGAAAACATTAAGGAACCTCCTGAGGACCCTTTGCCTATGGAAACAGAAGAAGAGGAACCCAAAATTGAACCTATCAAGGAGCTTATAAAAGAGGTAAAATACCTTAATACAGATACAGTTATATCTAGTATTTTGTTTACGGTCAGTGACCAGGAAGATAATACATTATTTAGATAAAATCACATAATATCAGAGACATTATGAAGATATGACACCATCAATGAACCCTCTGGCTCTTTTATAACATTAAAGTTAAAAAGATCTAAAAGAAGTCTTGACCAATGTTTCTGATATTGTGTGATTTATCTAAATATCTGTAATAAATTGTTGTTGTTGTTTATTTGTTTGGGCCAGACTGGTATCATTTTTTCATATGGGAATCATGAATGTCATGGCAGCTAACAGGCTGATAATAACATGTTTGGATGTCTGCTGGTTGTATGGCTGGCGTGTGAATCATGCTTCATTGGTTGTTGTGGGTTTTCCGGGCTTCTTGGCCGTGTTCTGAAGGTGGTTTTTCCCAACGTTTCGCCAGTCTCTGTGGCCGGCATCTTCAGAGGACAGCAAACTGTGCTCTTGTGTAGTTTGGCTAGGGCGTGGAGTATTTATGGCTGTGAGATGGGATGATTAGTGTGTATTGTTGTGGGTGTATTGTTTTCTGTGGATGGGTGATTAGTGTGTTTTGTTGTGCGTTTATTGTTGTGATAAGGAGATTGTCTGTCACTGTGGTTGATGGTAGTGATCCCCTTGACCTTGTGCTTGGGTAGAGTTCGTGACCTTTTGCATGCTGTATTTTTGAGAGCTGGGAGCCAAGTTTTGTTGAGTTTCAAATTTTCCTCTTTTTTATTGAAGTTTTTCTGGTGCTTGTGGATTTCAATGGCTTCCCTGTGCAGTCTGACGTAATGATTGCTGGTGTTCTCTAGTATTTCCATATTTTGAAATAGAATTTCACGTCCAGTTTGTTTTAGGGCATGTTCAGCTACTGCAGATTTTTCTGGTTGTTTTAGTCTGCAATGTCTCTCATGTTCTTTGATTCTGGTGTGGATGCTTCATTTTGTGGTTCCAGTGTATACCTGGCCACAACTGCAAGGTATTCGGTATACTCCTGCAGTGGTAAGGGGGTCCCTTCTGTCCTTTGCTGACCGTAACATTTGTTGTATTTTTGTCGTGGGCTTGAATACTGTTTTTATGTTGTGTTTTTTCAGAAATTTCCCCATGCAGTCTGTGACCCCTTTGATGTATGGCAGAAATACTTAGTTTGTGGGTGGCTGTTTTTCTTCTTCAGTTCGGTGTTGTTTTCTTGGTTTGATGGCTCTTGTGATTTCATTTTTGGAGTAGCCATTTGCCTGTAGGGCCCAATTCAGGTGGTCGAGTTCAGTGTTGAGAAACTGAGCTTCACAGTTCCGATTTGCACAGTCTACCAGTGTTTTGATTATGCCTCTTTTTTGCCATGGGTGGTGGTTGGAGCTTTTGTGTAGGTAACTGTCTGTGTGAGTGGCTTTTCTGTAGAGCTTGTGTCCCAGTCGGAGGTCAGTTTTGCGTAGGACCATGACATCTAGGAACGGGAGTTGGCCCTCTGTTTCTTTTACACACTAATCATCCCATCTCACAGCCATAAATACTCCACACCCTAGCCAAACTACACAAGAGCACAGTTTGCTGTCCTCTGAAGATGCCGGCCACAGAGACTGGCGAAACGTTAGGAAAAACCACCTTCAGAACACGGCCAAGAAGCCCGGAAAACCCACAACAACCATTAATCCCGGCCGTGAAAGCCTTCGCGAATACATGCTTCATTGATTAGCCTCAATTAGCACTTCTGTATCCAAAAACAGCCAATAGGATTTTGGCCTTCATGTCTAAAAAGCCTAAATCCAACTTTCCACTGGCACTGTGGTGCAGGTGCAATAGATCATTCTATTGTATAGAATCCTCCTGCAGCCTTTACTGTTTTGGGAAAATGAGATCTAGAGGGTATCCTAGCCATTCAGAACAAATCTGGGGGCTGTAGAGGGGACTGCATTGCAAAGGATATCCTGCCAGATTCTGCCAACAAAAACAGTTCCGTTGACAGGTATACCTAATTGATTTCTGGCTTGTAGGGCTACAGAAAAAATGCAATCAAGAAAATTTTGAACTTCAGTCCTAATGAAATAAAACAGAATTTATTTTCTTGTTACTTTGGATGACACCCAAATCATATTGGCAGCTCACTGAATAGTTCTTTTATTTTAGGACCTGATTAGAACCTGTATTTGATTGTGCAAGTAATTTTACAGAATATGAATAAACCAGTATTATGACTAGCCTTGGAAAATTTGAGTTACATACTTTTAAAGCATAGGTGTGATATCTTAAACATTGAAATGGTGTCAGTTACGTTTAGAAGCTTGAATGTCAGAAGCAAAGTTGCATTGTACAGTTTTACCAGAGCTGGTAACAAAGGATATAGAAAGTAATAAAATACAGTGGTGCCTCGCATAGCGATCGCTCCGTTTAGCAATGAAATCGCTTTGCGATGTATTTTTTGCCATCGCAAGAGCGATCGCTTTGCGATGGCCCCTATGGGGAAAATTTGCTTTGCGATGATCACGGGGGAGCGCTTCCCCACGATCATCACAAAGGCCCCGCCGGTCAGCTGTTCCAAAAAACGGGCTTTGCGCTGCTTGCGGGGAAGCGCTTCCCCGGGAGCAACCCAAGGGCTCGCTTTTTGGAACAGCTGACCGGCGGGCCTTTGGGCTGCTCGCGACGAAGCGCGACAGCCTAGCATGGGGCCTCCCCTGAATTTCTCTTTTCTTCTTTTGGGATCCAAGAGGGTGAAGTGACTCCTGCATGTCGGGATTTTTGGAGAGGGAAAGACAGAAGAGAGTCTTCTTCTCGCTTCTCTGCAAGAGTAGACCTTTTTTCAATCCATGAAGTCTTTTTGGTCAGTTCCAGTTGACTAATTGACTGATTTAGGGAGCATCCATTACAGTTTTTGCAGGATTGATGCTGTCCTAGGAGAACACCTGCCAACTTTCTTCCTGTCTCTCAATCAGGACGGCAGCGGCTGGATGGGGGGGCCGGCGGCGCGCCAGAGACCCCCTCCTGGCCTGTCTGCACCCCGGGAGAGCCCCACCAAGGAGACTGGGTATCCAGGGCTGGCTGGCTGGCCATCAGAGGCACGCCCCTTCCCGGCTGCCTGCCTCTGAGCCCTCACTGGCTGGAGACAGCCACGCTCCCTCCCCCTTGCTCTCGCCCGGCCATGGAGACCGGGCGTCCGGGGCTGGCTGGCGGTGCTGTTCCAAGACTGGTTCCCTGCTTGGGGAACCGATCATAGCAAAGCAATGCTTTTTTAAACAGCTGATCAGCAGTTTCAAAATGGCCGCCCACTGTTTTCTGGAATGGATACCTTGCTTAAGAGGCACCAGAAATGGCCGCCCTATGGAGGATCTTCGCTTAAAGGTGAGTTTTTAGCCCATAGGAACGCATTAATCACGTTTTAATGCGTTTCTATGGGCTTTTTCTTTTCGCTTAACGGTGAAAACACTTAGCGATGGTTTTTCCGAAACGGATTAACCTCGCTAAGTGAGGTACCACTGTATATAAAATTTTGACAAGTTTCGTATTGTTGGAGTTTCAACATAGGCTTTCCCCCCTAAATCCTTCCTGTTCAGCCACAAAAAATTCTGATTCAGAGATGTACATGTATTTTGGACTGGAACTCCCAGCATTCTGCCAGGTGAGTACCTGGAGAATTCTGAGGGTTGGAATCCAAAAACATGAAAGAGCACACCTTTCCACTGTAGTGTTGTTGTTGTTGTTTTTGCTAGCATTATCATTAAACACAATCCACTAATGCTCTTGAGTATAATTGTTCTCTTCAACCTTTGTTTCTCACCAGGAGCCAAAAGAAGAAGAAATGACTGAAGAGGAAAAGGCAGCTCAGAAAGCAAAACCTGTAGCTACTACCCCCATTCCTGGTACTCCATGGTATATAACATTCTTCCTCATATTTATTGGTCACTACATTAGAGATGTAATTTTAAAGATTGCAGTTACTGTGCAGTTTCGTATGAAAATGTTGCATTACAACTAACGAGCAAGAAAATAAATTCTTAACTTTTAAGTTTATATTAATAACATCAGTTATAGGTTTCTATGGTATATTTTGTTAAAGGAACAGAAAAAATGCTATTAAACTGAAAAACGATCAGTTTTATTGCTATCAGACTGCTACTGCATCACAGACATTTCTAGTACCCTGGGCTGCATTCCACGTCTGATTTCATAGGAATTGATCCAGCTTTTCCCCTTCCACTGCAAGCACTGCCTAAGTGGAGGTTCATGTAGGACCCTCCAGTCAGTGGGAAGAGGTAAGGAGGTAATCTTTGCCAATTTTCTTTTTCTTCTTCAGCTCACATAGTCACAGATTATTCCAAAGGATCACTTGACTCTTTGGAGCAGATATTTGGCAGCACAGGACTGTGGGGGTGGGTGGATGGTAAATGAGTGAAGAATACCTCCTTTCCCCATTTTACCAACAGAGGCATTCGTTCTGTCCACAGCAGGAAGATTCTGGTGATAAAAGAAAGGGATATAATACAAGATAGGCAGGTACAGTTAAATGCTATTGTTTGATTCTGTTCCTCTACATACATACTTGGGAAAATGTCCACTGAATACTGTGTACCTTTTGTCCCAAATATAACATTCTTAAGTTTGTGTTGTTAGTTCTTAAGTGAATGTAACAGAGCAGATTTGCAACTTGCATACGTATAGGTTTGTGCAATATTTTCTGCTGATGGCTTTAATATTTGCAAGCCAACAATTCAGATTGACTATGGCTTTTCTTTAGGTGTGTAGTATGGACTGGCGATGAGCGTGTTTTTTTTTATAACCCTACTACTCGACTGTCTATGTGGGATCGGCCAGATGACTTAATAGGCAGAGCAGATGTGGACAAAATTATTCAGGAGCCACCGCACAAAAAAGGAATGGATGAAGGGAAGAAGCAAAGTAAGAGTAAAAGCAATGTTGTCTTTATTTATTTCATATTGCACAACTTTTAAAAATTTGACCAGAGCTTCCATTTTTGTCTGAACCAAATTTACAGGAATGCTAATAGAAATCTCTCTTATAGTAAAAGAAGAACATGAAATGCTAGAAGATACCAATGATGATGAGCCAATTAAAGCTAAGAAGCGGAAGTAAGTTAAGTGTGAAAGACAAGTCTGCATGATCCATTCACCCCTAAGTCTCAGAGTCTAGGTTTCATTGGTTCTTTAGTCTGAACCAGGACTTAGGCTTTGTGAGTGTAGAAAATAGGCAGGTTACCTGCTTTGCTCTTCATGAAATCCTGTATATTTTTATTTTTACAGGAAAGAAGATAACAAAGATATTGATTCTGAAAAGGAGGCTGCCATGGAGGCTGAAATTAAAGCAGCTCGAGAGAGAGCCATTGTTCCTCTGGAGGCTCGAATGAAACAATTCAAGGACATGCTGTTAGAGAGAGGGGTCAGAAACTGTTGTAGAACTGCTTCTTTGCTGGTTGCTATTAATGCTCATAAGATACCCAATGTTATGTAGTGGACTGTGCAGTGGACTGGAACTCAGGAAGCCTGGGTTTGAATCCCTGGTCAGCCATGGAAATCCACTGGATGTGTAGAACTGGTAAAACCACTCCAGAAATATTTCATTTACCTTGAAAGCTCTGTTAGGGTTACTATAATATAAAATAATATTATAGTGGCACCTAACATAAAATAATGATCATACACACATTTCTCTGAATTAGATTCAAAGAAGAAATAGAACTGTATGACTTCACTGAAATTGTAGCCTAAATAATGGGAAAATTAATTGATGACTTTTATCTTAATATATCTTTTCTCCCCAGCTGACAAATACTATCTATATACAGTTATGCTGTATAGGTGTTGGTTATCAGTATTCTGATCCAGTACCAAAACCTGGGGTGAATATTCGTGTTAAGGAATTTCCAGGTTCTGATGTGTCTATTTCTGTCTGATAGTTCAGACTAAAACCCTGTTTGGGGAGTGTGAATAGCAGTGCTGTGAGTATGCTTGGAGGAGCTCATCTAGCCCTGTCCTCCTCCATCATTACATTCTGTAGAGTTTCAGCATTAGATTTGAACAGGAGAAGGGTCATGAATAAATAATATGCAAACTAACTGCTAAAAGATATTAGTAGTACACACATTCAAATTCACCCAATGTGAATTTAATTATCACTGAGATAATAATACACACATTCAATAAAATAGCCACCTAAACTATGTGCTTGCCCCAATGTGAATTTAATTATCACTGAGATACTGTCAGTAGGAGTTCTTTTAGAATGGCCATTATTTCCAAAAGTAAAGATAGTCATTAAGGGCCACAGGCGAAGAGGCATAGACTCATCCTTTTAATGAATGATACTTTGATCATCCTCAACCTGAACTGGGTAGGCAGTCAGTATTGATAATAACATTTCTGTGGAGGAGGACGTTACCATTGGGATTTAGTTGTCTTCTATCCCCTTCTGGTCTATTTCACCTAGAATTGATCATCAGCATAGAGTTGGAAAAACTATGTCTGTACAGCAGACTTGAAATTTCAATATTCTGTTTCTGGAACCAATTATGAATCCCAGTGTTTCTAATGATGAGTGTACCTTGTTCCCACATCTTTACAGGCAGCTGATGGGAATGTTTACATCTTCTATTATACCTAAAAGAGAAGCCTTTTCCAAAGACCCCTTCACACTTGCAAACATTACCTTATAATGGTGTGAGGAGGATTACTGGTTCTAGTCTCATTGTCATTTGCACACTTCCTTCTATTATGGCCATAGTCTGAAGGCTGTGAGCAAGGAACCTGTATGGAGGCTATAATGACAATAAAAAGCCAGGGATATTTTTTTAAAATACTATTTTTATTTCACGTGCCAGACCAAAGGCATCCACCAGTAGAATGTACTGGCACACTTAGATTAATTTCACCTAATAATTTTAGTACAAGTACTTCTCAACCTTGGTTTGTTGCTATTCAGGATTTTTTAGAGGGTAGCAAGACCCTGGCACTCCTGAGTTCAGTTTCAGTCATATGAAATAGAATTCTGTTAGGGTTTCACCTGCACATTAGATGGGATGTTAGGCATAGTATGTGCAGTGATTTCCACACCTTTCTAGGCAGGTATCATCAGTATAGACCATAATGAAAAACATAACATAAATGAATTCACATATTCTCAAAGTAGCACCAACTCCCTTTTGAAAGTTTCTGGGTACAAGCCAGGGCAATACAGTTAATAACCATCCATCTCTTTTGTTTTACTTCTACCTACAGCACACTTTTGAAGTAAGTCACAGCTTCATAGGAGTCCAGTTCCTGTCCTGTAGCTTTTAGAGGCCTGGACTTGTCACTGAGATCTTGGAAAAGATCTTGTGACTTGCTTGTGGAGCAGAGGAATACCATAACTGCTGGGCAAAAATGTAGAAGGGAAACTCACAGAGGAACAAAGAAACTGCAAATTTCTTTGAAATGTCATTGATGTTTCTTTGCCAGGTTTAAGTGTTTTCCCCCTTTAAGAGTCCTAAAGTTGATTCCTTTGCAAAATGCTTCAGTTGGTTTTTTTGGTTGGGGGCGGTGGGATATTGGATCATTTAGAAGAAGAGCTATAAAAGCATAGGGAGTCACAATGGAGAACTTCAAGGCTTTCTTTTCATGTAGCAGTTTTTAAATGTCACACAGTAGTTGTTATTTTAATGAGTAATTAGGTGTGTTAGCTCTGTAATTATATAGACTTTTTCAGATCCAATTAGCGTGGAAATTTGCCATGCTGACCTCCTGCGGCTTATCATTTATTAGTGATGAAACTGCTGTAAAGGTTTCAGTTATGGCTCCTTTCTAACAGATGTCCTGTAGGTTTCAAGCAGAATTGCACAACCTGCATGTCTTTGGGTGAAGTTAATTGGCAGAAAAATCAAAATTCTTCCCTGTCCCTCTTTTTTCTATAGGTTTCTGCCTTTTCTACTTGGGAGAAGGAGTTACACAAGATTGTTTTTGATCCACGGTACCTATTACTTAATCCTAAAGAAAGGAAACAGGTAAAGTGGCAGAAATATAAACTTTCATTTATATTTTTTAAAATTGGTCAATAAATGCCATCTTTTTAATTGTCTTCTGAATGGATTCAGCTTTTGTCTTGTAACTTTAATGAGCTCTGTGATATAAAGGATTTTCAAGTAATCAGAATTTAAATAATGGTTTGGAGAGAGGGGAAGTTCTGATATATTTTTGAAAAAAAGAGAGAGATTAATTATCCCTGCAAAAAATGAAAGATTCACAGTCTAGTACCATATATATGTACAGCTGTAAATAAGGGAGTATGCCAGGGATGTTTATTAGCTCCCCTTTTATTTAATTTATGCTTAAATGATATGGTCTCTTTATCAAGCTCCAAGTTTTTCCCACCCCATCTAAAAGACAGGAATATATCAGTACTCTTATACACATGGTGCTGTCCTCCTATACTCAGGTGGGGATGCAAAGACTGTTAAGGGCCTTAGGCACTTATTGTGCCAAGGAGCATTCTAAATAAATGACACCAAAACTAGTTTTTGGGAAAAGGAGGAATAGTAATGGCAGCTGAAGAGGAAATTGCTTAAACAGACCAACTTGTATACCTACTTTGGAATGACATTTAAAAGTTCAGGAACATGGTCAGGTCACCTAAAATCTATAGCTGTGGAAGCTGAGGTATTTGCCAGTGCTTTTTCTTGTTTTTCTTCTGGACCAGGTGGAAAAATGGTGGTGCCTCTAATACAACTATACAAAGATAAATTGTTTCCTCAGATGTTCTGTGGAATCCCAGTATGGGTTCTTTCAAATATTACAATATTAGAATCTATACAACCTAATTTTTTAACCAGAGCATTAGATCTTCCTCCATGGCCATAGTCTGTTCTGAGACATGGTGCTGCTCAGTTGATACTCTTGCTAAGCAAGCATCCGTGCAGTTGTGGCTCAGAATAGTTTACCACATGGTCTCACCTCTGGTGTCATTGGCCTGTGAAGAAATGAGAAGGGACTCTTGAACAGCTAAGATACTCACAGTTATATCTAAGATGGGTTATTTCTCAGTCTACCTCCAAAGAAGAGTGTATAAGACTGCCTGAGAAGATGTTATTAAAAGATTATATGGTATTGACATGGTACAGGCAGACACTGCCCAACAGGATGCTCTAAAATGGTGGACATGGTACATTTTCTAACAGAATGTCCTCTGTATGCAGATTTGAGAGATCAGTATCTTAAGCCCTTAACAACTGGGATCAAGAAAATCTCCCCGTTACATACAGTTTTGTTTCTACTAGGTGGCACAGACCACTAAATTCATTAAACGAGCAATGGAAAGATGGAACTCATGGCCTGTTCCACAATCTCTTCATATTAATCTGACAAGTTGATATTTGTTTAAGAATGCTTGTTTTATTATTTTATGCTTTTCTGATTGTTTATATGTATTTATATTAGATGTCAAATTCTATCTTTTAAGAGTGGTTTAATTTATGTTAATGCATGCAACCTGATTGGCTATGAAGCAATAAAGTATTCATAGGTACAGAATCAACTACTTAAAATAGCAACCCTTATACCAAAGTAATTGTGTCAAAGATATAACAGGATAAATATTAAGCCTATACTCCTGAGTGTTTGAAAAAGTGAGAATATATTTAATTCATAATAAAGTTCTTTTCAAAGTAATATTATTTCACAAACTTGAAAATAAAAAATAAAAACATTTTCAAAAGGCAAGGATCAAGATTCATTTATGTGTTCTATTTCAATCTATAACTAGGATGGTTATTTATAGGCTTGTAAACTTAGAAGTGCCAGTATCCAAACATTTTAGCTAGATTTTTATTAAATGTTCTGGGTAAGAACTCCTCATGAATACATTAGGATTTTCTTTTTATTGCATTATTGTCTCTAGAAAATGTATGTTTCTTGGATTCTTAAACGTTTTAACAAATTTGCCATTACAGTTAATATATAATGTGGGGCGGAAAAAACTGTTTCTTCCCCTGATTCTCATAGAAACAGTTTATCTTCATGAGAGTCATACTTGGGTTTCATAAAGAAGTATATAGCAAACTCTATATACAGCATTCTTTTTTCTTGACTGTGTTGAATTTTATGTACTTTTCTCATACTGTAGTGTTCAAGTAGGAATTGGTCCAGTAAATAGAAGGCTGTGTTAAAAATCCATAATGGCAAAATACAGTGGTACCTCTACTTAAGAACTTAATCCATATTGGGACTGTGTTCTTAAGTTGAAACATTCTTAAGTTGAAGCACCATTTCCCATAGGAATGCATTGGAAACCATTTAATCCGTATCTGCTGCTTTTCGTTCTTAAATCGAGGCACTGATCTTAAGTCAAAGCATCAGTTCCCATACGAACTAATGGAAAGCCGGTTAATCCATATCTACCACTAGGGGGTGAATTTTTCATTTTTTTTTCTTCTTTTGACCTAAGGTGAACTTAGGTCAAAAAAGGGAAGGAAAGGTGGTAGGGGGTTTATTTCATTTTTTGTTTGTTTGTTTTGGTTTTGTTTTGTTTTGTTTTTGGTTCTTAAGTCGAGGCTCCTTTCTCAAGTTGAAGCAACTTTTTGAGAACAGAGCAATTCTTAACATCGTTTGTATGTAGGGACGTTCTCAAGTCGAGGTATCACTGTACTGTTGCATAAAGTTGTGTTGGCAGAAACGATCCAGCACCATCAATAACACATTTTAGAGATGATGGAGATAGACTTTCCCTCTTCACCTAGCCATTCAGGCCTTCTGAAAATGTTGCATAAGGGCATTTTAAAGGGGTGCACTTTGTTTTAAAGGTTAATCAGGAGCCACATTATATAATTAGTAGCGGTAAAAGGGCTGGAAGGACCACAACACTGATTGATTGATGCTTCTTTTACTGTGCTTTTCTCCTTAAAAGTACCCAAGGTGGCTTACATTAATAAAATATAATATTTAAAAGCTAAAAACAGTATGTATACAAATATTTAAAAGAATATAAACAAATACCACGTTAAAAATGGGAAATAAAATTAATACCAAAAAGAGATTCACAGCAACAAGGCACAACACTCCATTTAAAACGCCCACAAATAGAAAGTCTACCTGAAGAGAAAGACCTTTGTCTGCTTGCAGATGGACAGCAAGGATGGGGCCAGCTTGGCTTCCTGTGGGAGGGAGTTCCAGAGTCTGAGAGCAGCAACAGAGAAGGCGTTCTCTTGTGTCTCCACCAAATGCACCTATGAAGGTGGTGGAACCAAGAGAAAGGCCTCCCCTGATGCTCTTAACACCCCCCAAAAGGGAGGAATGCAGGTGGGTACAAACAAAGTTGCTCATTCTGATTTACAGGATGATCTTGATCCAGATATATTGGATGTTGTTTCTGTAGGTGTTTGATCAGTATGTCAAAACGAGAGCAGAAGAAGAACGTAAAGAAAAGAAAAACAAAATAATGCAGGCCAAGGAAGATTTCAAGAAAATGATGGAAGAAGCGAAGATTAATCCCAGGTAAGAACATTCTCTCCTTTCTAAGTTTAAAAGTATGTTCCCTGAAACTACCATCTTGGTTGTTTTCTCACTTCCTGATTGCATTCCATTGCCCCTTGATTCCTTTCAAAGACTCTTTGGTTTACATCTTTGGTAAGTTTACTATTATTTTAATCTGAATTTTAATGTTTATTGGCTGTTTCAGGACGTGAAGTGATATAAAATGTTTTGCATTATATGGATGGGTTTGGTCATAAATGTTAACAGCTCACATCCCCAATATGTAGCTTTCTTGATTTTGAGTACTGTTGGGAACACTATTACATAAAATACCAGCATAATTCAAATGTATTAGAGATGAAATATATACCGTGAATCACACCACTGACTATTGTGTTAGAAATTTTGTGTCATTTGGTTGTTTTTTCCACATCACCAAATTCTACAGTCCAATGGGCCACAGCTATAAAAAGCATAGATCCATAAACAGTTCCACAGTCAAGAATCAGAAGGCTGCATATCTAGAGCCTTGTGGCGCAGTGGTTAAACTGCTGTACTGCAGCCAAAACTGTGCTCACGACCCGGGGTTCAATCCTAGGTAGCCGGCTCAAGGTTGACTCAGCCTTCTATCCTTCCGAGGTCGGTAAAATGAGTACCCAAATCGTGGGGGGGGGCAATATGTAGCCTGCATAATTAACTTGTAAACCACCCAGAGAGCGCTTGAAGCGCTATGGGGCGGTTTATAAGCAGCATGCTTTTTGCTTTACTTTAACCTACTGGGTTGCAACCCGAGGTTGCTAACGGCTCAGATGGCCATGGATTTCTTCAGTTCAAGTCCACTATAAGGAATGCATCGCTAAATTTTTGTTGGCTTTATTTATAAGTACTCCTTTTAAAAAAAAAACAATTGTTTGATAAGTCCATTTTTGTCTATATCAAACTTTTTGCTATCACCCAGCTACTATTGTAATGAAAGTTCTTTCCCCTTCTCTCTGCAACTTTCTGTGCTGCCTAAAAACTTGTTGTGAAACACTTCCTTGTCCTGTGAAGCATGTGTTGAAAGGTTGCACGGATGAACAGGAGTGAAACAGAACTCAGATCTTAGTTCATTTTGCATCATCAGCTTAGGTTGAATTGTTGAAAAATGCAGTGAAACATGAAGGAGGAACAAGCTCGTTATCAGACATGTTGCTTCACTTGAATTAAGTTGATGTCTGCAGACAGCTAGCCTAGCAAGGGCTGTAATTTTAAACATGCCTTATTAAGGTGTAAGTCCCTCTGATCATAGTGGAACTCAGCTCTGAATAGGAACATCCTGTAATTTGTGCTGCAAAGTTTTCAATTAGTAGGGTAGATTGATTTTTGGAGCGGGTATAGCATTTCATTTAAAAACAATAACTTTTCTACCTTGAAAAGTTTCCTGATTTAACCACAATTACTTTAAGTTGTGGTTTCATCTAGAATTAATGGGTTAGGAATAAAGTTTCTCTTTCTATTAATGGATGGGGCCACAATCCAGTAGAGGTTCCAGAAGAAAGGGGGGGAATTGCGAGAGTTTTCTTCCCATTCTCATGAGAAAGTCTCACCAGCAGAGTTCATTTAATCTGGTCCAGCCCACAATTGCTGTAATCAATACCTGTTTAGTTTTAGCAGACAATGAGTATGGAAGACAAGAATTTGTATGTCTTATTAACTTCATCTTATAATTTTATATTTCTCCATCAAAGAATCCAGCGACGCCCTTTGGAAGTTTCCACTCCTTGAAAATCTTCTTTGTGTTTTGTATGCTCAGGAATTTGTTCCACTTTCCTTTTACAGCACACTCTTTTTTAGTATAGGCTTATGTTCACTTCCAAACAATTGAATAAGCTACCAAATTCTTCTCTTGTTTTAATTTACCCTACAGCAACAGTAGGCGGGATTTTCCAAGTCTAATTATTTCCATGCTGTGATGAAAACATTCGTAGGATTATAATGTCTCATGTAATCTTGGGGCCAGATTACCATCAGATCTTCGAAAAAGCACAATAGTGGGGTTTTTTCTAGGTAAGTGGCAGTACTATATCTACTGCACATCTGAGATTTGGAATCTGGCCCTGGAGGTGAGAATAGAGCAGAAAAGGAGACTGAAAGATTCTGAGGTCACTGCTGTCCTTGATCTCATAATATTAAAAGAATCTGAATTTTTGTGTTATGATACTTTCCCTCTTGGCAGAGCTGTATGGCAACTTTAGATTTATTAACTTTATACTGAGTAACCAAGAATTACCAAGGCAGCTTGGCAGTGGACTCCATTTATTTAATAAGAGTTGTGCTATATTGAAAGAACTATATTCGTTGTTTTTAAATATAAGGCAGGCAGCCTTTTTTCCTCCAAAGAAAAAATAGAAATCTTGTTTCTTGGCCCCATACCTCTGGTAAGGATACCAGTGTATTTATGTTTAATATTCATATTCCAGCAGAACAAAAATGGGTTTGAATTTTTAATGTATTTTCCAGCTAAGAAAGCTCTGCCAAATCAGTACACTTGCAATTTTGTTACAGAACTACTTTTAGTGAATTTGCAGCCAAGCATGCTAAAGACTCGCGTTTCAAAGCAATTGAAAAAATGAAAGACCGAGAGGCCTTGTTTAATGAGTTTATCACAGCAGCAAGAAAGAAGGAAAAAGAAGATTCGAAGACCAGAGGAGAGAAGGTAAGATTTTTATATGCAGGATGTAAAACAGTTATGAATGAGAGGGGCAGGAGAATGTCCATGCTAGCCTTCCAGGTTCCTACTCTCTTTCCAGAATCATTTCCCCTACCTTCCCCCTCCCCACCCCCCAGTTTAAGTATTCCCTCATATATATTTGCCTGAAACTCAAAATAAATATATTACTGTAGTACTAGTCTTTTGTTTTCCTAATTGATATCTAGAATTTAAAAAACAGACGTGTCTGGCTGGAAACTCCAAACAGACCTTTACAGCTGTATTATATGAGTGGTGTAAGTAAGATTTGAGAACTTGGTGGGCAAATTGAAATAGCTGCTTTGCCTCTCAATGCTAACGGTTTGGTGGTTTTTGATATCTCTCAGTAAATGTGTTTTGAGTATGACTGCTTACCAGAATTAAAGGTCGCTTATTAAAGATTAACGAATTCAAATGTCATTTGTCTGCACTGTCAGTTTAAGAGACAAAGAGCGCATCTCTGGGGAAGACAAATACTGCAAAATGTCTTCAGCAGGGCTAGCCTCAAAATATGTAGCAGATTTCTTCGTCATCTTCCTAGTATGTTGTGTGAACGAAGGGAATAACATACCTCTGAAACCTAATCATTTTTATTTTACTTTTTTGGTAATTGTTTTTTCACATATCCTGTCAGTGATGTTTATAAGGTTCTTTAAAAAAGAAGTAAGCAAGTGATTACTTCATGAAAAAGCTTTTTCTCATTCAGGGATGGAAAACATTCACGACTGAAATTTAAACCTGCTGATAATCTTTACAGAAATTTAAAAATATTTTACACAAGTTCTAAAAAATTTTTAATTTATTTTATTTATTTAACTTATATGCCGCTCACTCTACCCGAAAGTCTCTGGGCGGATTAAATATATCATGTTCGACAGTTTGTACTTTTTTGCTGTTATGCATGCAGTACTTGGCCTTCTAGACTGCAGTTCTAGATCCACTTTGTATATGCATAGATCTCATTGGACTTAGTGGGACTGATTTCTAATTAGATATGTAGGATTGCACTGTGAAGCTCTGTGCCACACTAAAATGATTAGCTTTCTAGAGGTATATACAGCTGAAACTTCAACATAAACTGCTCTTTGCTTTCATCTGTAGTTATAGTTTAAACAATATTGTTGTGTTTTAGCTATAATCAAAGTGAATAATTCATAAATTATTTAATATTGCATGAGCTACATCAAACAAATTTTTGTGTTAAATACTGTATTTATCTTGTATTTGAAACTAACAATTTCTTTTCTCCCAAAGCCTCTTGTAACCATTTTATGTATTCTGTTTTGTAACAAGTGGATAGATTTTACAGTTTTGTGCTGTGCGGCCTGTCAATCAGTTCAGTCTGACAGCTGTCAATCACTGACACGCAAAGTATTATGGGATTCCCTAGTGAGGAAAGAATTGGTATCTCTGTGTGGTGACTTTAGCCTCCCGCAGTTCCGGTACTTTACATTTTTTTCAGTTTTTTTCCTTGTGAAGTGATGAGAGTTATGCCCAGAATGTGTAAACTGCAAAAAAGGAGAAAAATCCTCCTAAATACACACACAGTATTTTCAGCTATATCTGCTTTAGTTGTGATCCATTTTTAAAAAAAACACTAACAAAAAATGTGCCTGAAATGTTAAGTGAAGCTTTCTCAGCCAGTTTTTAAAGAAAAAAGTTTAATGCAAGGATTATGATCTTTAAACAATTCTTTAAAGTAAGGATTGCAGATATCACACTTAGATTTCTTTGTAGGAATCCTTCAAATCTGTATTTCCATTTACTTAGTAAATTTAAAGAGAGAAAGTAGTCTAGGTCTTTTAGGACAAATGAGATAATCCCATCTTTATGCTGGCAGAAGGAGATACGGAGCATACTATCCGGAGTTCCTGTCTCCAGACACAGCTTTTAGAGAACAGAATAAAGAGAGGAAGGTCTGTCTAAGCTTAGTTCTACCATGTCAGTAGCCTGAAGAACTCCAAAGCCTTTTCTTTTGACTTGCAGACTCCAAAGCATTTACTCTGTCCATGTTTATTTTAATAGCAAACAGACAGAATAAGGGGATGCCCACCTCCTATTTCAGCTTTGGTGTCGGACTTGCAGTTAATTATCTATGTTCTTGGCTTTAAAGGTTCTTGCTTCCTGTTGAGCTTTTCCTTTAAAGGTGAATAGCTTTTAAGTAAAATGTGGCGTTCTCACAGTTTTTCATTTTTCTTGTATGCTATGAAATCAACGCGAAGTTATAATGATTATAATAATTTAGTAACCTCCCAAAGGTCCTGTCATTAATTGACCTGCAGACTTTGCAGATAAAGGCCTTGGGTTCCTTTACTGAGTCAGTCCTCAACTTTTATGACACCTAAACGTCTGCATGTTCTCTATGCCCTAGAATTCTATTAGAATGTTTGTTAGCAGACTTGACTGACTTTCTTTATTACAGAAGGCAGTAGAAGAGTTGTCTAGCTGAAATACTGTCTGTTTTGTTTTGGCACAAGAAGTAACAGTTGGTGGTGGGATCATGCTGACTTTCAGGTTAGAATGAGGATAGTAGCTAATGGTTTCTATAGAGACATGGAGACATGCCGAGTAGATGTCAGAAAGGATACTTGCAGAAGCTGTTTAGTGGCTTTAACGTTCCAAGCTTCTAAATGAACTTCAGCTTTATTTTGACTTGAAGATTTACAAATAGGTTTAGTAGACTGTTTTAAAAGTCCATAGAAAAGTATTATTTTGCCCTTACTTTAAAGACTTTGTTTTTCTTTATCAGTTTTCTACATCTGGCTTAGAAAGCTTTATATTTTGATACTACTTGCATGTTATGTTTTAAGTTCATTTCCAAAATAAAAGTTATTGGGTTGGATTCCGAAATAGAGAAGCAAAACTCTGCTCATGCACCAGGGCTTCTCTAGCTTCCTGCTTCCCAGAGTAGCCCCATGTGCTTGATGTAGAAGGAGCAAATAAAATGAGACATGATGGGATTTGGGAACTGCAGCAAGTTGAGGAAGTTTTGAGACTTCAGCATGGTAGCCTTGCACAAGTGGAAGTGCAAAACATTTCTGAATCCAAACCAATATGTTAATACTTATAAGTTGTTGTACAGCATCTTAAACGCTGTTGTGGTAGATTGTACCAATACATGTAGTAGAGAGTTAACAGAATACCTATTCACAAGACCAAGAGAGTATTTCTTGGGCTTCAGAAATTTCATTGTTCTTTTGTGTCCAAATAGTAAGCCAAGAGCCAGATACCACTGTTGAGGGAATATGTACACTGTTATATAATAATTTTCATTAATATTTGATGGGATCTAGAACATTTTTAAATTGTACTATTCAGAATGATTAAGCAACTAAGGTTTGTGATCCTATAATACATTAAAATTTGTTTTTCTAGTGTCACATTCTGCATGTGTATTGATTGTGGGGTGGGGTGAGGTAGGGTCCTAAAATATATCTGTTCAGGCTTACAATGGAGTTATATCTGTCCTACAGCCAAAAAGCCCAGGAAATTTTTACCTAGGCTCATTAAAATTTGGGCATGTTCTCAAGGTGATACATTTAGCCCTGTAAGCCATCATTGGCCATTTATCAAGTTGAAATTACTGGATTCATTAAAACAACCCTCCATAGGTCAGAAGCTTTGTTGTGCATGATCATAGTTTCACACAGCAAACTATACTGAAATATTCCTTAAGACAATTTCCCCCCTCCATTTGAGCAACAGCATAAAATGTAATGTTTTTCTCTCCCCTCTGGTTATTTTCTCTACTGGCTTCCATTGGAACTTACAAGGATTGTGTCTATTTTATACATGACAGAGGTAGAATTGCAGAGCTTCTGGCTAATTTATGCATCTAGCCACTTGCATGGCTGGATGCTTAGAACACACTCATACAGACACAGCTTCACAGTGTAGGCTACTTATGGCTGTGACAATTTTGAATATGCCAGTGCAGGAAAACAAAACGAAAACACACATCTTTTTAAAGGGTTGTGATCGTAACAGTACAGTTGTTACAGTGATACAAGGCAATGTTCCCTCTAAAATGCACACCTCTACACAGCCCTCCACCTCCTCTTCCACGCAGTGACAATGATCATTTTCAGTCCCATTGGTTCCAATTACAACGGAACCCGCACGGGGAGGGGGGAATGGAATCGTACACGTGCATGATGGGCAGAGCCCTGCCCAGCAGGGCTGAAAATTAGCAGAAATGTTGATAAAGGGCAGTAATGCACACAAGATAGACTGAATTTTATTATTTCTACTGGTTTATGCTTATATACCAAGTGAAAATAAAGCTTGTCATAATTCATGCTCAGTTTTTTAGGGGTGCTTTTAAAAAGAACTATGACAACCTGTATTGAATCAATTTAGTTAGCAGTGTGCCCAACCCTGTTATTGACAATTGTCGAATTATATTTTATATTTGGATAACTTCAGTATCCTATGTGAAACTTAACTGAAACCTGTATGCTGATTTTTGAAACTAATATTTAGTACTAAATACTAGCCATGGTGTTCTTGGAACAATTGAACTCAACTATTTTAATATACATTTTGGTACCTCAGGTTAGAAACTTTGTGCATTGTTAATTAAAAGAGCAACGAGAAGTCTAAAGGTGTAGCCTACCAATGTTGCTCCTTTGAAACAACAGTACTGAGTGGACTACTCAGTGTCTTAAACCCAAAGGTGCTGTTAAATACTATATGGAGTAAATATCAAAGTTCAAAAGGAGGAAACATTAACTGTCAAGTCGGTTTTCAGCCCATAATATTTCCTCTATTCCATAAGAAAGAATTGTAGTCATGTCCCACATTACATGCTTGAATTTGGACTATTTCATCATTAATATTGATAGATTCACCTTGCTTAGAGAAGAATGCCTAAACTCTCACCTCTTTTTTGTTGCTTTCACCACAGAGAAAGTGACATGTCTGCAGAATAGATGGTCCTGCTTATATATATGCTGTAAACACAAACAAGAATCCTGGAAAATCTGGGTTTTTGCATGTGCAGAGAATCTGCACAAAAGTGAGAATCTCTCCTGGGCAGACATGTTCCTTTCCTTGTGGAGAAAACAATAGAGAATGAAAAGCTAAACACTTCCCTCTAATCATGGTTTGTCTACCCGTATTAGTCCTGTTCGTGCTCTCTAACATATAAATAGAAGGCCCACATTTATGAACAGACCCTGTATGTGCAGTCTGCATTTTCTGCATAAGTTCATGGAGGAGCAATACTCACTGCATGCATGATACACCACTTCTTAAATACAGCATCAAGCTGGTGTAGCTGTAATGCTGATTCTCCCCAAAAACTACAAGCATCAAGATAGTTACATTATCTTCTTAAGTATTATGCTTAAGACTGTAATGACAACAATATCATTTTAAAGAATTTTTCAGCTTGCATTTTGAAGGCTTCTACATTATTATTTTCCACTACTTTTACTAAAATCTCATCCAACTAGCAGATTTCACACACAAATTTAAAGTTTAATATGAAGAGTCTAATTTTGACTATTAAATTAAAATAGCTTTAGCCATCATGGAAAATCTGCTTCTGTTGTTTCTTTTTTTAAAAAAAAATAATGTTGCTAGTATTGCAAAAGAAAGTGACTCTGCATTTTCTCCTTTTTCTTTTGTCTTTTGTTTAAAACATAGATCAAAATGGACTTCTTTGAACTGTTATCTAATCACCACTTGGACAGTCAGTCTCGCTGGAGCAAAGTGAAAGACAAAGTAGAGACTGACCCACGCTACAAAGCTGTGGATAGCTCTTCACAAAGGGAAGATCTTTTTAAGCAGTACATCGAAAAAATAGCCAAAGTATGTGTATTGTTAACAAGACTGCTTCCGTTGTCTTACTAATTCACTGGTAGAGTAGTCATAGGACTAACACTGAAATTAATGTATTCACTTTTAAAGTCTTATTAGCACAGATACTATGAGATGTGTTTCCCTGCTGTTTCTTGAATAATTTTTATAAATAGGCATTGTATTCTGAAAATCAAACAGGAGATGTCAAGAATAAACATTGACATCCTGGGTGTCAGTGAACTAAAATGAACGGGAATGGACGAATTCAGTTCAGACAATTACTGTATCCTATTGTGGACAAGAATCCCATAGAAGAAATGGAGTAGCCCTCATAGTCAACAAAAGAGTGGGAAAAGCTGTACTGGGATACAATCTCAAAAATGATAGAATGATTTCAATGCAAATCCAAGGCAGACCTTTCAACATCACAGTAATCCAGGTTTATGCACCAACTACTGATGCTGAAGAGGCTGAAATTGACCAATTCTATGAAGACTTACAACACCGTCTAGAACTGACTCCAAAGAAAGATGTTCTTCTCATTATAGGAGATTGGAATGCTAAAGTAAGGAGTCAAGAGATAAAAGGAACAACAGGGAAGTTTGACCTTGGAGTTCAAAATGAAGCATGGTAAAGGCTAATAGAGTTTTGTCAAGAGAACAAACTGGTCATAACAAACACTCTTCCAACAACACAAGAGGCAATTCTACATACGGACATCACCAGATGGGCAATACCGAAATCAGATTGATTATATTCTCGGCAGCCGAAGATGGAGAAGATCTGTACAGTCAGCATAAACAAGACCTGGAGCTGATTGTGGCTCTGATCATCAGCTTCTTATAGCAAATTCAAGCTTAAACTGAAGCATGTAGGAAAAACTACCTAGTCAGGTATAATCTAAACCAAATCCCTTATGAATACACAGTGGAAGTGAAGAATGGATTTAAGGAACTCAATTTGGTGGACAGAGTGCCTGAGGAACTATGGATAGAGGGTCATAACATTGTACAGGAGG